ATTTTTAATAATATATTTTTAAAAGTAATATATTTTTAATATATAAAAAATAATATATTTTTAATAATATATAAAAATAAAATAATATATTTTTAAATTATATATAAATACTTTTTTAAGTTTTGTTTTTATATAAGTATTTAATATATCTAATTAAAAAATAAATAAAAGTAAGTTTTCAATTTTTTTATTTGAATTTTTGTTTAAAATGATTTTATTTAATATATTTTAATCATGATTTATAATATATATTATATATTTATTTTTTATTATTATTTGTTAGTTTTATTTTTTGAAAAATTGATTACTACACACATGGGAATGAGAAAACCCTCCATTTACTATGGAATGGTTAATCCCATGGAGATGGATTTTGCCATTCTCATTGGAATGGTCATTTCTTCCCAAAAAATATACCAATCATAGGATAAGGAATGATCATTCTATTCCTATGTTATTCCATCATACCAATCATGCCAGTATTGTATTGACAATTGAGTGAGAGAACAGCAGAAGGCACTTGCATGGCATGGGGAGAATCGTGATGAAGAAACTGAAAAAACGTGCAATGGGTTATAAGTTTATAACGTGATTAGTGCTCAATGGCACCTAAGACACGGGCAAGAAATCGTGCTGTGGATCAACTAGAATTTGGGGGAAACATAAGTAGTGGTTATTTGACTTATTTTATATTTAACTTTTTAATTATCTATAAATTAATGAGAAAAAGCAAAAATTAATTACTAACTTTCATAGTAAAATGATGATATGCTAATTTAAATATTTAATTATCTCGAAATTAAGGGGAAAAAGGCAAAAATAACCAACCTTTTAATGGCAAAATGATGATGCTTTTTAATTGTAATACCCCAAAGTTATGCGCGCATGAAGTATATTCATTTAATAAAATGCATTCTTTTCATATACGAGTAAAGTGCACATGCGATGCATGTGGTGGTGAATATTTTTTACCGATTAAATTTAGTAAAATAAATTAATTAATTTATTAAACATATCATTACAGGGGCAAAATAAAATATATAACATGGAAGAGGAGGAGTGTCGAGGTCGGCGAAATTGGGGAAGAACATAAAACAAAAAATGAGAATTAGAAAACGAGCAACTTACTCATTGCGAGGTGGAAAATGGTAAATCTGTAAATTTTCACAGTTCAGTAGGTTGCAGTGGAACACGACGGATCGCAGTAAACTCAAAAGGCAAGGTTGCATAGGGAAAGAAGGAGCTAATATTGCTAAGTGAAATTTGCAAAGGTGGAAAACTTCGGCCGCATGGTTATCTATAGAGGGAGAGACGTGTGGGTCAATAGACCCTGACCTTTGGGATCACAGATTTTTAGGGACGGTCGAAATGCGACGGGTCAGTCAGAGAGACGGCTAGGAAAAAACCGTTGGATCGTGGCTAAATCAACGACGACGAATAAGAGTAATGAATTTGAAAGGATGGATCGCGAGGAACCGTTGGATCGAAGCCGGTATTAATGGACGAGATTTATCAGGCCAGTTGAAAGGACATCAAGACTCAATCGTCAAATTAAAGGCAGATCCAACAGACGGCACTAATGGAACATTTTGGGGTACAGTGTATGAGGCCAACACGATTTATGGATCGCTGACGTCGATGTGACGTTGTGACTGGTTGGAACTGACAAGATGGCAGAGGTTTGAATTTTGAAATTCAAAATAAAGATCACAGGAGGAGGTCGAAAATTGTGTTGCAGAAGTGAAGAAAAATAAACAGGCTGGTCGAAAAATTATGGTGTAACACAAATGAGGAAAACGCAAGCAGACATGTTGAAAAACAACAAACTGAAATTCACCAACCAAAATCAAGGACAGATCTACTATTAGATCGAGCTATTTCAACTCGACCAGATTGGGAGGGCCCAGATGACATGGGATACCATACTCAGAAGAGCAAACAGAATAAAACGACCAATCAGATCGAACGAACTGGGTGGTTGAGACAGAGTAGCAGGGAGGTCGATCGTCAACAAGGAGTCTTCTGATCGAATACATGAGCGAGAGGGGTTCAAAGGGACAATGACATGCAGGCCGAGCTAAGGCCCTCGGACGACCTGTCCGAAACTCGACTTGTAGGCATAGTTGGTCATGTGATCGACCAGAAAAGAGAACACTTAGGTTTAGAATAGACAACATTCTACTTCAGCAGACCTCGAGTTGGTTGCACCATTAATTAAGCAGTCTAATACGAAAGACTAAGAGATAAAAATGGATCTTAAGAGGATAAGAGCCCCACGTAGATAGGGATAAGTGGCCAACAAAATTGGACAGATCGAGCAGTATGAACAAGCATTTCGGGCAGCCCACTCGGGTAGTCTTAAGCAACAAGATATCACCTCCGTCTATAAGGAAGTGAGTTATGCCCATTATCACATTACATTATCAATTATTCCATACATTTATACTGCACTTCATATTCTACATGTGCTAACTTAAGAATCGGAGACTTTTCACCGAAAAACTCCTCCGATGTGAGAGGTTTTGTAGGTCTCAAGGCATTCAACCGGCGAGGAGCTTGAGTCAGGACGATTTTCAGCCAGTCAGAGGTCTTTTGCAAACCAAAGACCAAACAGTGTTAGTTTGGTAATATTCTTTTTTCGATTTTTTTAATTCATTAATCGTTTGATTATGTTTTTAAAACCTAAATTGTTTAACTTTTACTTGTAGATGTAATTGGACTGGTGGTTGAAATTAGTTCAATCCACATGAAAAATATTGATGGTGTCCCAACACAAATAATTGTAATTCTCTCATGAACTTGAGTAAGCATTTTTTTTATTCGTATAATTTTTCTAATTGTGTACTTATCAAACATTAAATATCAATAAAATTTGGTTACACAACTTATTTGAAATTTGTATTTAAATTACACTATTTTTTTTGTGATATATCTTTTAATTTTTTATTCGCAAAAGAAAAAAAAGTCTGAGTAAATGTTCTTAAAATTATCTTTTCCGTGGGTCGCACGGACTACGTATTAATTAATATATAAAAGGATATTCCAAAAATAATAATACAAAAGTTACATATTGTGTTTCTACTAATTAACACAAAAACAGTATAATTTTCCTTCAGAAAAAAAAAAGGACTAAAAAAGAAAAAGAGAAATGTTAGACCTTGATGGCCAAATTAGTTGACCGTTTCTGAAAAAGTCTCAACAAAAATTTTATATTTAATTCTTTTTTAAGAAAGAAATTTAAGCCAGTGGCGGCCCTTTCTAAAAGCAGCCGGCTGGGTTGACATTCCCTACCGCGGTTCCACGCGCGTTGCCGCAGGACGCGGTCGCTGGTTTGTTCTTCCCGTAGGTAAGAAAGACTTCGCTTAAGGTGATTCTGTTGCACGGGTTTTTTCCACTGCACCCCAAATTTACCGCAACATGCGAGGCCGAGGTTCCCCTTATGTCTTGATACGTCACGTCGCTAATTCTCACGCCCGATCCCTAAACGTAACAGTTATACACATGTCAATCATCAAACTGAATGAAACATAAATAAGAACATAATTTTGGAACATTAAATATTTTCCCATTGATCAAAAGGTCTAGTTAGCAACACAAACATAAGATTCGACCAGATTCCGTACCTCGGTCGGGCAGTTCATGTGGTTTGGACAGTAATTTTGGTCAATAAAAATCGGGTTTCCGACATTTTGCATGTATATGTGCTGGAAGAGAACTCGATGGACGAATGCTGTGGTGTCCCTCGCCCATGTTTTTATCCTAACCCCGTTTTGGGTTTCCGTGAGTGTAACCGATTTAACCGTCACGTCTCGCACTCCGGGTTCTTGCCACGTCCAACCGAGGCTCCCGATGCTGTTAAAAAAGTGTCGTTTTTCGTCTTTTCCGTCACGCGCGTTATTGGGCAATGTGGGTTGTTAAATATCTCAATAAAAAAAAATAACACACCTTATTCCGTGGCCTGGGCCACAGCTCAATTGCTCGATCCATAAATTGGAGGTTCCGGGGCCGATAGAGACGCAATCGTCGCCCGTGCCAATGTTAGAGTTGGTGATAGTAACTCCGGTGGACATGTTCACGTGAATGCCGTCGGTGTTCGGGCTGTGGGCCGGGGCCCGTATCTTCACATTTGTGAGCTTGACATTTTGACAACCCTCCACAAGAATGTGGAAAAATTGGGGGTTGTACGAGGTTAATCCGTTGATGTATATGTTTTTGGAATTGTAGAACGTCAATGACTGCATAGGACATATCATCAACATTTAGAATCAATGGAATATTGGGTAATGTTATCTAATAAGTCAATTTTAATTTAATTAATTAAGCATATGAATTATATATATAGCGCTTTTGATTAATGACTCATGCCGTTATTCAGTCTAATGGCTGTATAATCATTTCTCACACTCCAATATCATACTTTATAATAGTCTAAAAAACTAATGACTTTAAACATTTCTTCTGAGTCTAATTTTTTATTTTATACATCTTAGAAAAGTGGTCAACAAAGATATAGTCACAGGCCAGATATATACAAATGTCAAAGGCATTAGGATTTAATTTCAACTTTTGTCATAATTATTTTACTTTACTTCCTCCATTTTTCAACAAGACTAACTAAACTCCAAGGCCAATTTCTTCAAATTTTCTCCTCAAATTAAAAAATGAACAAGAATAATTCAACTTTTTCTAAAACAAAAAAAAAATAGTAAAATAAAATAATAATAATAATAATAATAATAATAATAATAATAATAATAATAATAATAATAATAAGAAGAAGAAGAAATTACCATGGCTCCATGAGGACAACTATTGCCGGAATTTTTACAGGCCCACAGACTCTTCCCTTGGCCGTCAAGATTTCCGCCAAAGATAGAAACTCCGTTGACCCCCACGAACTTCAACCAGTACTCCCTATTCCCGAGAACCTCGTAATTCGAGGGAGCCACAAGAGTCCCGTCGATGTGAATCGCGATGGCCTTCCTCTTGCAGGTGCGGCCATAAAAAATCACGGCCCCCAAGTGGTACCTCCCCTCGGGCACATAAATAATGGCTGCGGGCCCCAGATAGGCGCAGGCCCGGTTCCACGCCTGCAGAAAGGCCCACTTGGAGTCGGATAGCCCGTAGCGCGAGGCCCCGAAATTCAAAACATTGTAGGTGGGGATTTTATTATAATAAGCAGCAAGAGCTATTGGTACTGGTGATGAGTAGTGAAGGATGATGAGAATGAGAATGAGCATTTGGATTGGTTTTGGGAGTGCCATATTTTTTATTTTTGTTAATTTGTGTGTGGGAATAATTAATTGAATGGGTTAATTAGGAGGGTATTTGTAAGCTTCAAGTGTGATGTGCGTGCATAAAGAGATTGGTCAATTAATAGAATTGTGTTAGGCATGCTTAATGAGTACTAACAAGCACACTGCTATACTAGTGCATATGACTAGATTGATGAGCTGAAGACTTTCTATTCAGTAGACGCGATTAGCGGGAGAAATATTACTTGACTAATTAAAAATGAAAAGTTGGGGACGCAAAACCAATAAGGCTAACCAAGAAAAGTTGGGGTGCAATTAAAATTAATAGTGTTATACGTATGTAAGGAGGATGACAATCAATTAAGTCCGGGACGGATAATTCTTTACTCACCATATCTCCTATGGTGGGTCCTACAGGGGTGTCTGCAGTTGGAACACTATAGTCAGCTATATTATATTAGCTAGTTAAGTTCTCAATAACAATTTGGACCTCAGGTCGGGATTATGGATGAGGAGGTCGATATGAGATGGGTTTTGAAGGAGGCAAGACACTAGTTTTAGTGTTATAGGATAATCTGCCCATGTTCGAGCTATTACAAGTGAAAAAATGTTGGTTTAGGTCGAAGTCGCGGACCTTAAAAGAATGCGGAGTTTTTGAAGGTAATTATATGAAGATGTTTGGGAGGAAATGAAACCTACAAATATTTGAAGATTTTCCTAGATCTATATGGATTATGCGCGTTTAGCAGGATTATGTGTATCTTAAAAATTATAATCATTACTTTTATCCTTATATTGGTACAATAACCGTATACTACACAGGTATCAGATATCGATCCGTGGAATGGACCGTCTCGCCGGCGTGTTCCAGCATTAAGGGAGTGGTTGCTTTAGGGCTCCTCTTGCTTGACTTGTGGTGGCCGAGAGAAAACAAATGGGGTGGAGAGTTGCTAAGGGTCCTAGAAAAAGGGGATGGTAGCTAGGGTGCTTGGACTTGGTCTTAATGCCTTGAGTTCAAAATTTAAAAAATTTCACTAAGGGTGGCCGAGCCCTTTACTTGGTCGGAGGATAAATAGAATACTTAGGCATATTAATTTGTTTAGGACTTAGGCTCAAAGAAATATCATCATGGCCAAGTAACACTTAGGCTTAGAAAAAAGGATTTTTGGTACTTAGGCTTAAAACAAGACTTAGCATAAAATTTAGCGAGGTGGTCGAGCTTAGTACTTAGAAAAATTTGGAAAACAAAAACTAGGCATGCTTAAGACTTAGCTAACCTTAATTAACAGAAAACAAAAAGATTAACTAATAAAGAAAAGTAAGTATACGGAGACATCTATTTAATCTTCATTTTCGATTCGGTAAATTAAATAAACGAGGACATCTATTGAATTTGATTTTGGATTAAACGATTTGGATTACACAAAGTCTAGCTAAGAAAGATGAAATGCAAATGCTATGCTCTAACCAAACAAACGGGGCGTTACAAACCTACCCTCCTAGAAACTATTTCCGTCCTCAGAAATTTACAAAGGTACAACTCAAAAGTACAAACTAAAAATACAATATTCAAATACTTCGTCCGAATCTCATCCTCGCTCTCCCAAGATCTTATGCCTTTTTATTTATAATTTTTTTTATTTATATCATATAACTACTTGGTAGTTGAATTAGTTTAAATAATTTTATTTTTATGAATTAATATTAATGGATAATTTAATTTTAAATATAAAGATAATTGAAAATTGATTTATTTTGTATGTATAATATAGATGTCAAATCAAAGTTCATCAAGACGTGATTAATTTGATATATTATATATAAAAAATTGTTAATAAAATAAAAAATTATTAACTATTAAATATATTTATAATTTAATTTAGTAAATTTGTTATAATTTTAAAAGAAATATGAGAAAACAAACAGAAAGATTGAGAAAAAAATTATACCTTATAAACTATGTCTATAATAGGAAATGATATTAAAACATAATTACTGTTCTTAAAAAGGACCATAAATATCTACTATATTTATGAATATTCCAAACCTAGTTAATGGATTGGAAATAAATTAAAATTCATCCAAGTCAAACAATAAAATTTAAAAATTTTCCATATAGGATCACGAAGCGTGCGAGTCTGCCACTTAGACTCAGCACATTCGGGAATTATGTAATAGGGGAGATTTTACAGTTGGTTTGTAGGTTGATGAATGACACAAGTAAGATTTTCGAGTAGAGTTTAAAGAAATGCTATGCATATAATCAAGAAGTTTTGTGTTGCTCATAGACTTTCAAAAGGCGGTGAACAGGTCGATTCCAACTTGAACTTGGATACTTGAGCTCGGTTGATTTATCCAAATTAACGAACCAAACTCGAGGTTTTGACGAGATAAATTATACTAAAGTTTTGGAAGTTACACAAAAGTTGGCTGATTATTGGAGCCTAACAGGTGTCATTAAGCTTGAACCGAGCTTGATTCATAAACTAAACGATAACAAACCTTAACAAGTCGAGCCAATTTAATAAGCGGCTCGTTTAGTTCAACCGCTCTAGTAAGAAATTTAACTAGGCACATGATTTCACTCGACTAGGTATTAAAAGAAACAGAAATGTACTACTTGTTCCCATAAAAAGTGAAGTATAAAAAGTAGGTACAACTTTGGTTTGAGTCACAATAAATTAACATATCCTCCCATTAATCAATACACGTTCTCTGATCAAAATTCAAAATTTGGACTTTGAATTGTTTGTTTATGACAACTTGTTCGGTGAAAAAGACGGAAAGAAGACAAAATAATGCACAAGTTGCTCGTTTTTGTAACGAAAAAAATAAATAAACACACACACAAGTTGCTCGTTAAACAATCAATTTAGCTGCCCTTTTTCATAACCCATCCAATCAATGTTTTCTTTTTTTCTTTTCGATGCTCCTCCTCTTTACAAGTACACTCTTCATAATTTGATTGCAGGTAAAAGAACTATGAACACAATCTGGACAAATCATAAGCTTGAGATGGGAGAGGTGGTGGGACAGGAGAAGAACTTGGAGCTTCTCAAAGGGATGCTTCTGAGCAAAGACCCTAAACGGCGGGTCGTCGTGGTCGTGGGGATGGCCGGCATAGGCAAGACGACGCTCGCTAAATGCATCTGCCGCGACCCGGACATCGTGACCCGCTTCACGATTTTCGATAGATGGGGCCGTGAGCACGGGCTAGACGGCTGGGCAACAGTCAGGACCTACTGGGGGGACATCTTCCAGTGCTTGCTGCCTTTCCACAGACCCTTCCTAAATAAAGAAGACCCGTCGTACAATGAGGTCATGAGAAGCCACCTGCGCAGCCACCTGTCGGGCACTAGGTACCTTATCGTGCTGGACGACACGAGTGACCTCACGGACTGGAACCAGATTAAAGTCGCGCTGCCGGACGAAGGCAACGGGAGCCGAATCCTCGTGACCACACAGAACGCCGATCTAGTGGGCGCTCTGCGTGCTTTGCCCCATCACGTGCTTAGGGATCCGTTCCTGGACGACGACGCCAGCTGGCAGCTGCTCCGCCGGGCAGTGTTCGGTGCCAGCTGTCACGACTGCCCTTACGAGCTCGAGAGGGCAGGGAGGATGATCGCGAGCGGCTGTGAGGGGCTTCCGCTTGCAATCCTCCACGTCGGGAAGCTCCTGCGTGGTGAAGAAAAAACGGCCGAGAGATGGCGGGCGCTTGAAGAAAGCGACAGCTTGTTCGACAACAAGGGCCTCTCGGCCGCTCTGAGTCCGAGTTACCTGAATCTGCCTACACATCTCAAAAATTGCTTTCTGTATATGGGACTAATCCCGAAAGGTACAGAGATTCGCACGTCTAAACTCGTCCAAGCCTGGATTGCTGAGGGATTCGTTGAAAAAGAGAGGTCGAGTTCCCGCAGCCTGGAGGCAACTGCCGATTTCTATCTGAACGAGCTTGTTGCCAAGAGCCTCGTGTTGGTTCGGGACCGGAGATCTGTTGGTGGGGCCAAGACTTGCCGTGTTCATGTTGTCTATCGGTGTTTTTGCGTTGCTGTTGCCCGTGACGACGAGTTTTGCCACGTGATAAGCAAGTTGCACGCCAATAGCTTCCCTCGGGGCATCCGCCGCCAGCCGAGGCTCTGCTTCCACAACAACATTATACTCGGCTTCAAGCAAGTTCGCGCGGTGTTGGAATCAGTGGTTTCGTCCAAATGCTCTCTTCTCTGCTACGGTCCACGTCATCAGTACCCGGTAGAGGCTGATTTCCGGCCTTTTAAGCTGCTTCGTGTGCTGGATTCGCTTGCTCTTCGTTTTTACGAGTTCCCGGACCAACTGCTCTGTCTCGTCCGGCTGAGGTACCTTGCCATCACGTATGACGGCGAGATTCCAAAGTCGATTTCCAGACTACGTAACCTTCAAGTCTTTATCATCCGACGGCATCGTGTTGTCAAATCAGTTTATGCTCCGGTTAGCTATCTGCCGATGGAAATTTGGTACCTAGACAAGCTGAGGCACATTCAATGCACAGGATACGACCTTCCGGATCCTTCTTCCATTGGGCTAGATGGTTCGTTTCTCCTCGAAAACCTTGTCACGCTTTCGGGCGTGAGCGCCTATAGTTGCATGCGTGGAGTGCTTGCTAGGATGCCCAAGCTGGCAAAAGTTGGAATAAGAATCGAGCCGCCACCCGGCACGTCTGAGATCTTCAATCCTTTCGGTGATTTTGCACATCTTTATGATGAGTTTGAGTCGTTCAAATGTGTTTTCGTGAGACCTGGTCTTGCATCTCATGTCATTCCCTTGGTAACTCCATCTTTCCCTATTAATATTAGCAAATTAACTTTGAGTGGATGCGGATTTCCGTGGGAGTATATGAGCATGATTGCTCGACTGCCTAATCTTCAAGTGCTTAAACTGCGGTGCTATGCTTTCTGTGGCCCTGTGTGCGTCTTAAACGAGTCGGGTTTCTCAAGGCTACGATTTTTGCTGCTGGAAGACTTGGATATCAAGTGCTTGGTAGGCGATCGGTATGGATGCCTTCCCGCACTCGAGTGCCTTATTATTAGGCACTGCTACAAACTGGAGGACATCAATTTGGATGAAAAAGTGCCGCAAGAAATGTTGGAGGTGCAGGGTTGCAGCACAACAACCGAGGCTTGGGCTCGAAAATTATTAGGAAACAGAAGTGAATGTAGAGTTCACATCCACTCCTCAAGGAATGATGATAGCAAGCATAAATCGTGACGTTTGGTTTTTCACATGGCATCTGAGGTTTCAGTGTTTTACATTTTTCGATTTTAATTCGTGATTTGCAGTTGGTTGTTTGGTGTAAGATATCTGTGTAGTTCAAAGAATTTCTATGCAAATAATGAGGAAGAGTATTACATGGGCATTGCCATGCACCAAATTCAGCCCAGGGGAACTCTTACACAACAGAACACAAGAAACTGATACAGTAAGAATTAACATTTTTTTCTGGGTACATGCACTCAAAGGGTAGGGTATGCACATGGATTATGAATAAAAGAATGTAAACATTGTTCCCATAAAAAAGAAAACAGTATATAAAATAGTGTTCAAGTTGTTCATTAACAATAAATTAAATTAGCCTCCCCTTACCCAATACTGATTAATTAAGTCTCAAGTCGTAGTTTGATTTAATGAGAGGATAAAGTTCTGCATTCAGAAGAAGCCAAATCTCTTCTGTCTGATATTTACTGCATGTAGTTGATGAACGAGAAGCTCATAATTCCCTTTAGTGCAAAGAATGAACAATTAAGTACCGTTAATCTTGATATCGTATATATCCGACTAAGCCTTGCAGGAAACCAACGACAAAACTCTTGTTCTTTAGCTTCGAAGATTATATATATTACCATGGTGTCTTAAAGATGTCTGTATATATGTTTTTCGAACCATATGTCTAGAGTTTATTGCATTTAGAAAAGATCAGAAAACAACTGTAACATGTTCCAGGAATTTGGAAATAAAATTACACCAGAAATAAAATCAGATTAAACAAAATGAAATGGTAAGAGTCTAATTAAACAAGGAGACAAAAACAGGATTAAAGAAAAAACCAAACGAACAAGTTGCTCGATCATTCATCAACGGGGAATATGGAAAGCTTCAGGTTCCTTATGTCACCCTGAATTTTCCTGGCAGACGAGACAGCCATTTTGCTTGTACGGTGCAAGTTCATCACCTCAAGTCTTGGTATATCTGCCAGTCCGTCAGGCAGCGCTTCTAGTTCTTCACAGTTTCTAAGCGTGAGACATCTGAGCCGAGGAAAGTAATCTCCTTGAGCTAATTTCCAGGAAACTAAATCCGTGTGCTCGATCAGCAGGAAATGCAGCAGAGGAAAACCAGCCTCGACAACTTTCCAGCATGGCCCCACAAATGCATTGTCCTTCAGCTTAAGCACCTCAAGATTCTTGAGAAGCCCCAATACTGACATTTTCTCCCAACCGAGTAATGTAGCAGATAGTGTCAGAATCCTCAGCCTCGGAGGGAACTTTCCAGGTGGAGGGAGGCATGGCAGCTGGCCTTCAGAAGGCGAAATAGAGTGGATGTCGTTAATTAGCTTCAGATTATCGAGCTCCCTCAGCCTCCCTAAACTATCAAAATCGAGATGCGTGGCTAATTTCCCTCTAATGCCCAGTTTTTTCAAGCTAGATGTCCTCTCAAACAAGTCGACAGTGCAATTTTCCGGAGATAGGTTGGCAAGCGTCTGGAGATTGTTGCCTTCACTATGTGAGGGTACCTTAAGCAAAAAAAATGGATGCATTGGTCTTCACGTGCCTCAACTCGTTCATCTTCCATATATCGGCTTTGACCAGCAGACTGCAGACGACGTCTGGATGACCAGAGTCTGTGTATTGATCAACTTGGTGACGGCTTCCGGAAGGACCTTGAAATCACTAGATAGGGCAACGTACTTCAAATGTACGAGCAGAGTCAGGCCAAGGGGGAATATTCTGAAGACGAGGGGCATGATGTGTAAAATCCTCACTAGCTTGAAGGCTGCGGGGACTTTTGGGATGTCCTCTGTCTGCAAGGCAAATTCTTCCGTGGAGAAAGACAGGAAAGAACGTGCGTTTGGTAAATAAGGCTCCGGAGAGAAGAAACCCGTGACATCGTAGTGGACACATATGCGGCGGTGGTGATTCTTTTGTGGGCCCTCCGAATATGAAAAAAGCTCAAATGCTCCGTCTGAACGTCTTCTAAGTTCTTGGAAGAATTGTTGTATCCCCTCGGCCTTGACTTTACAAAAATCACGCACCGTGTCATGAACGCGGCAAATTTTGACTTCTCCACTGCTCTTTAGCTTATCGATCATGACCAAATTCCGGTTTATGAGATGCATCAGATTCTCGTACGCTCTCTCCTCGTGGCTCTGACCATGCCTCGGCTGCACAAACCCTTCAGCAATCCACAGGCGCGTCAGTGTCGAAGCCGGGATCTCATAATCTTCGGGAAACACCCCGAGATAAAGAAAGCAATCTCTCAACTCGTCACACATTCTAGCGTAACTCAATGCCAAGACACTCGTGAAAACATCCATCATGTCGATTACGTAGCCGCTCAGGCTTTTGGACAGGTCTTCCCACGTGCGTATGATGGCAACAAGATCGTTCGATGTCGAGAGATGATCGTCTAGAATCCCAGCTATCATCAATAGTAGAATCGGCAGTCCTCGGCATTGTGTGCTTATACGCCTCCCGACATCTCCCAACCTCCGAGGCCATTCCTGGAGCTGCCCGAATACTTTTAAACGGAGGATTTGACATCCTTCTTCTTCGGTTAGAAAACGCAGTTGGTAAGGTGGTCTAACAGGACTGACATGCTTGCCCACTATCTGGAAACGGCTGGTTATGAGGACTTTACCACTTGCGTTTCGCAAGGGTAAGGCCTCGCGAATCGTGTCCCAGGCCTCGGGTGTCCACACGTCATCCAGCACGAGAAGGAACCTTCTCGTCTCCAGAGTGCCGTGGATCGTCAGCGCCAGGTCATCGACGCTGAGGCCCGACATATCCTTGCTGGTGAATTCTTGGAGGATGTCGAGAAAGAGTGATCTTGTGTTGAGTTCTTTAGAGACGCAGGCCCAGATGCGGGTGGGAAATGCACACTGGATTTCGTCGGTTTCGTAAACTTTCCGCGCGAGTGTTGTTTTCCCGAGGCCGGGCATGCCGATAATGGCGATCACGTCGAGATCATCCGATTCCTTTGTGAGTAGGTGCATTAATCTAGCTTGCTCATCTTCCAGACCTACGATGTTGTTTCCCCTGACTCTCGGAGCCTATGCATAATTACATGGCAGAGGTTTTTGAGCACAAAGTATGAAGGACTAATATGAAAATATGTGTGTTACCGTTTTTGATTTTGCCTCGTGCTTTTCCGGTTTCGCGATTTTCACTCTAGTGATCCCCATCCTAATCAGCTCATCCATGGCTGGTTTTAGCTTATCTTGCCTAAGGGACCTCACGAGCTGCGCCAGATCAGCAGGCGCCGGATCAACGGAACCTCGGCTGTGGCCAAACATATTTTCGGTGTCGGCAGCCATTGACAGACGAGTCAAACAAGCGTCAATTGTATCCTCAATCTCGTACACAACTCCCCTGATCTGCATTTCCACGTCCCTGATGAGCTGCGTCTTGTTATCTGGCCTTGAGTCGTCATGCTTAAGCAAATTCTTGATTGAGAGGAGTTCCCTCTTTAGGCCCTGGAGTTCGCGTTCCGCGCCGGAAATGAGATCGGAATGTGACGTCAGCAGGCGTGATAAGTTTTCCAGCAGGAAAGTCACCGCACTATAAGCCATTCTCTCTCTGTCAATAGTGTTTGATAATTTGTTTGGACTTGGAACCCAAAGTGCTTGTCTAGACTAGAACCCAAGTGCTTGTGAACAAGTGGTTGATTAGTAAGTGTCAAGTTGCATGTAAATGAGAAATTAATTTGAAATATGATACGTAGGAACATAAAATTACGTTTAAGGCCATCTCCAACCTTTATCTCTACTCTATGGCGGACTTTACTTTACTCTAGAGTAGAGTTAAACATTTTATCTCTACATTTTACTCTACATCAAATATATTATTGTTTTATTTGTTTATTATTTTAAATAAATTGGTATATATATGTATATTTAATCTTATATAAATATTTATTATCCAAATAAAAAAATATATTTTATTTATGTTTATTTCAAATGAATTGGTATATATATATATATGTATATTTAATTTTATAAAAAATCTTTTTTACTCAAATAATAAAAATATATTTTATTTATTTTTGTTTTAAATAAATTGTTATATTTTAAATGAATTGGTATGTATATATTTTCTTACGTTAATCATGTCCGTCCAACAATTTACTATATATTTTTTTCTATTATAAATAATGTTGTTAAATGAAGATTTGTGTTATATTAAAAAAAATTGATAAATTTTTATTCAAATGTTTTTATTTTAATATTAAAAAAATTAAAAATAAAATCATAGTAGATCAATAAATAAAAAGCACAAATTTTATGATATAATAAATACATTTACTAAACTCTATCCAAAATTTTATCACTAAACATATATATCATAACAAAATCATACAAAAATACATAAATAAAAAACAATAAAAGAGGAAAATCTATACAAAATATATAAGTAAATAAAAATTAAAAAAAAAAAAGAACAAAAATTCTAGCGCAATATCAACAGTGTTGCGTCAGATGTAGAGATGCACTATGCATTTCTTTAATCTGACGCAAAACTACAGCGATGCACTGAAACAAAAAAGTTGCGTAACTCTAGCGTAATACACTGCGCCACGCTGGATATGGTCTAAGTAACTTAACGTTGGTTACAATATATCGGATACATGATAGTAAATTTTGTCCAAGGAGAATATAACTTTTACATGCATTGACTTTATTTTTCTCTTTTTCNAAGAAGAAGCAGATAAAATAAAATAGTGTACAAGTGGTAATTTATTAACAGTCAAGTTGCATATAAATAAAATTGATACAGATCACTATCTGACTAATCCAGTTAAAAAAAACACTGCATCTCTTGAAAAGAAACACAAAGCGAAAGGAAAGAAAACCAAGATAACCTTTAATCAAGAGCATGTGAAGAGTAGTTGGACCTGCCAAATAGTTAATCTTCGCTCGCTCATTCCATATTGTTAATTACTATCGTTAGAGATGGCGTATGGCGCAGTGAGTTTCCTAGAGGAAAACGTGTCGCGGCTGCTGACGTCACATGCCGATCTTTTCTCAGGCTCCGACACGGAAGAGGAGCTCCGGCTGCTGACGAACGATCTCATCTCTTTCAAGACTTTGCTCGAGCCCGAGTCATCTACGTCAAATAAAGCCACACGACTCAGGGAAGTTGAAAGGCAAATCAAGAAAGTTGTGTATGCCATTGAAGATACAATCGACGCTTGTGTGACTCGTCTGGCCGCGGCAGCTGCAGACTGGAAATATATATCCGGTCGGAGACGAGATCTCGTCGACCCGGCGCCTGCTGACCTGGCACAGCTCATCAGGTCGCTTAGGAAAGATGAGTTGAAACCTGCCATGGACAGGCTCAGTGGGACTGACATAGCTAAGGTACGAATTGGCCACGACAAATCTGATGGGTCGAGACAAGCAAAGCAGGAGCCAAGGCTGAAAAAGGTACAACTTTTATCAGGCAAAAAGTAGTTTTTTTAGTTCTGTATTTTACCACTGCTTTAGTTTTAGTACTCTGAAAGTCTGAAATGCTCGTTTTTTGTTTTGGTTCCTTGGAGAAAAAAAAAAAAAAGGTAAGAGTTTTTATCCTTTGACTAGTTTGCAAAGGTCATGTTGCCAGTATGTAAACATACCATTTTTATAAACTAGCAATATTTTCGTTCTGACAATTGAAATTAAGTCCTCTAAAATTGAATTTATATTCCTATTTAGGGAAATTAATTTTTATTCCTACTGCCAATTACCAATGATAAATGCATTTGGGGGTTAAATTCATTCAATACAAAGTCTACGGTGAAATTTTTTACATTTCTGCTACAGTCAATGCTGCATTCCTATCATCGAATGAAATATGAGAAAATATGGGATTCTTTTTTTTTTTCCCAAGAAAATATGGGATTCATGATGTGATTATTTGTCCTTGGACTAATGTATGCACAAGAAAATATTCAATCAAGAATTAACTTTTTTGAAGTACAATGCTCGGCAAATGCTCCTGTTCTTCATGTCACTAACAAGTATCAATGCCGTGGGTTCGGAACGACATTTCTCTCCATGGAGATCAAGAGAATTTCTGTCAACATAGCTTATTCCATTCTTTTGCCAAAAAAAAAAAGGGCACTAGGCTCAACTTATCACGTGCATTATGAAATTGTTGAAAATACAATACAAGAAATAATCCGTAGCTACCAAATGAATAATATTATGCTGCTTGAATACAATCTGTAGCTACCAAAATGAATAATGTTATGCTGCTTGAATATGATGAGCACAATGAAGAGTAGCAAATTAGGCCTAACTAGAGAATGTACTGTAACTTGTGTGCACAGGCAGCCTCAATCATGGGAGAAAGCATGATAGGTCTGGAAGATGAGGAAAGAAAATTAATCGAAACTCTGATCTTTGGACGATATTCTCCTGATAAGATGGGCATCACCACCCTCATCGGCATGCCTGGCCTCGGGAAAACGACCCTTGCTTGGAAAGCTTACAACAACGAGGAAATCCAACGGGAATTCCCCACCCGAATATGGGCCTCCGTCTCCCGAGATTTCAACCCGAGAACCATCTTTCTCGTCATCCTCCACGAATTCACGAGCAAGGACATGTCCAAAGAGACAACCTCTGACCTGGCAAAAGCTATTCGTGCCTCTCTTCAAGAGAGGAGGTTCCTTTTGGTCCTGGACGATGTGTGGACTGCTAAGGCAATGTCTACAATCACGTCTGCCTTACCCACCAACAACGGGAAGGGTCGAGTCCTTGTCACCACCCGTCATCACGGAGTCACTGAACAGGTGATTTATTCCGAAGACAAAGGATATTATTCTATTATACCACCCCAACGGCTTCGTTTCTTGACGAATGACGAAGGTTGGCGACTCCTTCAGTTCAAAGTATTCGGGAAGGACGGGCAGTGTCCTCCGCAGCTGCAAGGGCTGGGAAGGCATATAAGCCAACGGTGCCGAGGAATACCGATGCTGCTGTTGATGATAGCAGGGATTCTTATGGACTACGTCTCGAAAGAAAAAACAAGTGTTGCCATCGTGAAGTCGTGGATAGAGCTATCCCAAAGCCTAGACAAGTACACTCGTGGTGGATCGGATGTTTTCAGGAGTGTTTTGGAATTGAGTTATGATAGAATGTGTGACGAGTTGAGGGACTGCTTTCTTTATTTGGGGGTGTTCCCGGAGGATTATGAGATCCCGGCTTGGACATTGACCCGGCTATGGATTTCCGAGGGGTTCGTTCGACCAAGGCAGGGACAGAGCTTGGAGGAGAGAGCGCACGAGAATATAATAGATCTCATCAACCGCAACTTGGTCATCGTTGATAAACTTAAAAGCAACGGTGAGGTCAAGACGTGCCGGATTCATGACACAGTGCACGACTTCTGTAAAGTGGAGTCCGAGGGGAAAGAGCATCTCTTCCAAGTGTTGACAAAAAATGGCGATGGAACTTTCATCAAACCTTTTCAAAACGATCAGCACCGCCGCATTTGCATTCATTCCAATGTCCTGGAATTCTTCTCTCCAGAGCCGTACGCCCCAGCCACTCGTTCTTTCCTTTCTTTCTCCGGAGAAGAAATCGCCTTGCCGATAGAGGACATCCCGAAAATCCCGGGGGCCTTCGAGTTGGTGAGGGTTTTACATGTGAAACCCCTCGTGTTCAGAATATTCCCACTCGGGCTGACTCAACTCGTGCTTCTCAAGTACGTGGTCTTGTCTACTAACTTCAAAGTCCTTCCGGAAGCCATTTCCAGGCTAAGAAACATGATGACTCTCGTAATCCATACATCGTCCCGTACTTTGGCAATCAAAGCCGATATTTGGAGGTCGATGGTCCAGCTGAGAGACTTGAGGACAAACGCGTCAATTACTTTGCACAAAAAACCAGCAGCTGGCGAAAACCGAGGAGGCCAGCATCTTCAGACGCTGGCCAACATATCACCGGGCGATTGCACCCTCGACTTGTTCGCGCGGGCACAACACCTCCAGAAATTAGGCATTCGGGGGATACTTGCCACTATGAATTTCGACAACTTGGAAGTACTGAATGACCTCGAGAATTTGAAGCTGCTGAATGACGACATCCATGATATCATGACCCCATTCAGCCTTCCTCCTCCAGATAAGTTCCCCCCGAAACTTAGGAGCTTGACGCTATCTGCCACTTTTCTCGGTTGGGAGCAGATGTGTGTCGTAGGAATGCTGGAGAATCTTGAGGTGCTCAAGCTGAAAGACAATGCGTTTGTGGGTCGGTGTTGGGAGGTGGGCACAGGTGGTTTTCGTAACCTTGAAGTGCTGCACATTGGGTACACGAACATAGTTTCTTGGGAAGCTTCGGATCACGAATTTCCTAAGCTTAAATGCTTAATGCTTAGAAACTGTGAGGAACTTGAATCGCTGCCCCAAGTGCTTGCAGATGTACCATGCCTTGAGACAATGGCCTTGCACCGGCTCAGTAGAACGGCTGTGACTTCAGCTAGAAAAATCCAGCAGCAAATATTGGAAAACAGAGGGGACTGTGGAGGAGGAGGCAGGGGAATTAAGCTTTCCATATTTCCTCCTTATCAATGAAGTTTGCTAGTACTCGATCAAGCAACCTGTTAAACAATGAATTTTTATTGCTTGCATATTGCAAAAATTATTCAATATAATGTAAGTATCAATTCAAACACTATTCTCTCTTTTTAATTACTGTGTTAGGATAGAAGTTTGTTTCTAGTTGTAGAGAAGTAAACTATCAACATATATAACTTATAAGTAGTCATTGTAATAGGAAAAGTTGTTAGAAACATTAGCACTTTTGGTCGTTTAAAAAAAAAAAACATATGGCATGAGCATTGCAAAAATTAGAATTTACCATAAATATATACTAGTGTGTAGTTCGTGCAATACACAGGAAAATAATATTAAGATTGTATTATAAATTAAATATATAAATAACATCAATCATGATTTATCCATTGTTTTTTTAAATTAAACCGGGTTGGACATAGTCCGACCGGATGGACTGAGAGCCGGTTTATAACCAGTCTAGTTCGCTTGAATAAAATATTTGTCTCGAATCCGTCAACACCAGTCGGTTGGACTACTAGGATCGATATGATTTTCTAAATAAATTTTGTTATATTTAAAATTATTTTAAATAAAATTACATATTTAAATAAAATAGAGGTTTATAAATTATTTATCAATTAGTTTAAACATTTGAATTTATAAATTGTTTAGATATATAAGTAACACATTTTATTTAAATTTATTACAAAAAGTACTATATATATATATATATATTAAAATGTTTATAAATTAAAAGTTGAACAAACCACAAATGATTTAATAAAATAGCTTGATCGTTTCGATGACGGTCCAGTTCTGAAATCTTTATATTTACTGTATATTAATAAATATTATAATAAAATATTATTTAATTCACATAAATATTAATAAAACGATATATAAATATTCATAAATCATTAAACTTGTTGTCATAAAAGTATTGTAAATAAGATTATTTGAAGTTTGTACTACATCACGTTTACATAATAAAATATTTTCAATATAAAATTTATATTTAGGTTCAAGAATCGATTTGGTGTGGTCGAATTGATACATAACTTAGTCACCTGAGACCAACTAAGTTGTGTCAAGTTTTTTTTTATTATTTTAAATATCACCTAAAAGTAATTCAATTAACTTGGCAGTACCCTAATTTAATCACTTGATTGATTCGAATGAATTTTCTTATTTTCTTTAAATATATTTAATATTATGAAATAAAAATATTTTATGATTCATATAATAAATGTCTACACCAAAAGATAGTATATTAAGATTATAAATTATATATCTAAAGATGAATTAATTATTTATACTTTATGCATATTAATAAAAAAAATAAACACAGTAATTTTCAAAAAATTAAGATTAATTGATTGATTATGCAATTTAAAGAATATTTTTAGCGTTCAATATTTTTTTTAAAGGCAACAAATATAAAGACCGAGATTCTAAAACTTTTGTTATATTTTGAATTGAGATTTTTATAAATATAGTGACCGAGATTTTAATGTTGTTCGTTGTTTCTAAGAAAAAAATCAAAATAAAAACATACACACTTAATAAATCTTAGCCGAATTTTTTAAATAATAAAATGGACTAAAGCCCGAAATTTAAGGTAGCATTTAATGTTGTATAATTTTTAAGAAAAAAATAAGAAAAATAATAAAACTTACTATTTATATACTGTATTAAATTCTAACCTATTTTTGTACTACTATTTTTGGTAAATTGTAATTCTTATTATATATATAGATATATAGATATATAACTCTCTCCCTATATATATATCAATTAACAAAATTACAATATGAAATTTTTNTATCAATTAGTTTAAACATTTTTTTTTTGTCGGAACGATAGATGTACTATAAAAAGCACAAAAGTGCAAAGAGAACAAATTACAAGACCCCAACAGGGTAATCTAAGACCCCAACAGGGTAATGAGACAAGGGCCAACGGCCCAAACCAAAAACACGCCTAATAAAGAACAGGAAGAGAAAACTGAGAGGACACGCACATGCCGGCCTAGAGAACTCCACAACCGAAAATAAAGGAATATAAATAACAGAGCCACTGCACAATGCCTAGCCTGTATTCATATCCAAACAAAGACAAACAAACACACAGACCAACTAACGAACAAAAAACACAGAAAACAACAAACAAACACTAAGCACACTAAATAAGCCCTTCCTAAGCAGCGAAACCAAGCTGAGCCGATGGATACCGAGTCAATCCAGAGAGAGTCCCACAGCCAAAGAGAGCTGACCCGAAACTGCCCAAACACCAACTTGGTGGCCTAACGAAGTCAAAACCCAAGCCCCAGAACAACATCCGAAATCAAACTCGAGCCACAACCTCAACATCAAAAATGCCTCAGGACAACCACGTGATCGAGCCCACTAACACCACTAGCGAGTCCAACCAAACCCGGTAAACCCCCGAACCACAAAGATGCCAAGTCCGCAACCACATCACCGACCACCCGAAACCACTGCACACCACCACCCACCACTGCCCCACCTCTGCCATCACCACTGGCCGGAGGTCAGAGCAATGGTCATCCCTGGACCCAACATCAAAGGAACGGGGAAGAAGGATGGAAGCACAGCGGAGCTTCGGCCGTCCGACACCATCGCCGTCGAACAACCGAGGGGAGAGAGCAACCAGATGACGAGGTAGCAGCCTCGACCCCCGAACCACCTGGAACCGCCAAGATCCTCCGCCCACCACCGCGCCCTCCCGTCCAACACCACTGGTCGGAAGATGAAGCAATGGTCCTCCCTGACCCAACGTCAGAGTACAAGGAGAAAAGGCCAAGAACCGCAGCGGAGCTCCGGTCATCCGACAACAACACTGCCGAACGACCGAGGAACCACCTACCCAAACGAAATACACCCCAGCCACTGCCTCCACAACCCAGGTAGCCGCCGGACTGAGCTCGAAACGTCGCCAGAGCCGAAGACCTTCCGAAGCCAGAAGCAAACCTGAGAGCGACGGCCATAGACGGCGCGATTTATCGGGGAAGGGCCAAGCAATCGAGGGCCGACCACCAGCTCATACTCAATCGCCGCTGAGAAAGGCGTACCGGCACTGATTTGAAGGAGACCGCTGAAAATTGAGATGAGGGGAAAGGGGGTACGGCGCAGAGCTTAGGGTTTTTTTTTCTTATCTTTGATAAGTCAAAACCCAAAAAATACAATATGAAAATTAATTTAGAACAAATGATATTTTGTCAAGTAAATTTTACAATTCTACAAAAAATCACGAACTAATTAAATAAAAAATAGAGAAATGCTATAGGTATATAATATTGTAGATAAGGGTGTACATAACACTCACAAGACCGACCAAAAATAAAAAATTAAGTAGACCTCACGAGTGTTATGTATACTTCTATATTCATTTATCATGTACTTGTAATATTTTTCTAAAAAAAATTCTATCCAAACACGTGAGTGAGTGGAATTAGTTGTTGCCTAGTTTTTGCTTAATTATTGCATTTACAATCATATCGTGTTTAATTTTTCTTTGTTAGTGGACAATAAAATCTTAAAAGTTACTAGACAAAATTATCACTTACTATGTATATTTTGCAATTTTAACTATATTAAAGAGATTTCGAACAAATAAGATTAACTTAAAAGAATGATTATTCATCAGATTTTTTATGTACTCATTTTTATTATGACTTTTAAATAGTATCATTATTTAAAAATTATATTTAAATTTTTAATACATTTGACACAATTCATTATATAATGTAGTTTTTTTGTTTGATAATTTAAAAATAATAATCCATATAATAATATACCATATAAGAATAAAGATAAAATATAATTTAAAACAATATATAGATATTTGAATTGTACATCACGTGCTTTCTACTTGCAGTTTACTAATTCCCATTTTTTTTTTTAAAAAAAAAAAGGGAAGGAAAGAAGTATAACATTGATTTATGGGCACATGCACCCAAAGGGTATGGTTATATGGAGTAAGAATAAAAAATGCCCAACTTGTTCTCATCAGTCATCAGAAAGAAAAGTAAATAAAATATTGTTCAAGTGGTTCTTATTAACTGGTCTCCACTCCAGTTGACTAATACTGTAATACATGTCGATAATGCATATAAATAAAATCAGTACAGGCTGGCATAATAGTTAGGGCCTGCCAAATATATAGTTAATCTTGTGCTCTCATTCATATTGATAATAGTTATTGAAATTATCGATAGAGATGGCGTATGGTGCGGTGAGTTTCCTGCTGAAAAACGTGCCGTGGCTGCTGACGTCACATGACGATCTTCTCTCTGGCTCCGACACGGAAGACGAGCTCTGGCTGCTGGCGACCGATCTCATCTCTTTAAAGACTTTGCTCGAGCCCGAGTCAACAAGGTCGAATAAAGCCACACAAGTCAGAGAAGTTGAAAGGCAAATCAAGAAAGTTGTGTATGCCATTGAGGACACAATTGACGCTTGTGTGACTCGTCTGGCCGCGGCAGCTGCAGACTGGAAAAATATGTCCGGTTGCAGCAGACGAGATCTCGTCGGCCCTGCTGACCTTGCTCACCTGGCACGGCATGTCAGGTCCCTTAGGAAAGATGAGTTGAAACCTGCCATGGACAGGCTCAGATGGTCGGGCATATCTAGTAAGTCGAGACAGAGACGAGGAAAGCAGGACGAGCCGAGGCTGAAAAAGGTATCCCAACCACTGTTTTGGTTTTATTTTTATTTATTTATTTTTTTTTTTTTT